TTTCTTTCTCCCCGCACCCTCCCCCCCCTTCCCTCCTCCCTCCCGTCCCCCCCCCCCCCCCCCCCCCCCAGTCTGAGAGACGCGAGTCATTGTTTAAGCCTAGGCCACAAATGTATACACAAGTCATTTAATAACCAGCCAGACCAAGAAGGTAACCCTTCTATCTCCTACTCACCATGCTGAGACCAGGAGAAGATGCTGAAGGGAAGGAGCGATACAAACTGAATCCATTTTCCTTGAGACCGACGGAGTCGGATGCAGCCTCGGAGCCCAACATCAGCAGCGGCTGCCAGGATCTTTTCCCCTCCCTCTCTGGTTGGTGATGGTGCGATAGGAACCACCCTTCCAGCTCCACTAGAGTATCAGCAGTAGAGGCGGAACAGCAGCAGCATCACTTGGGCCTCCTCCCTCTTGGAGGATGGTGTGAGCTCAGAAACAGCCAGGAACTTGCAGCAGACACCTCCTCTGACTCCTCCTTCCCTCCCCACCCCCACGCCCCACCCCTGCTGCAGTAGAAGCAGCCAGGCAGGCAGCTGCTGGTTGCCATGGCAATGGCCAATGGCAAGTGGCAAGCTAAGGGGGAGGGGAGTTGGAGCTCAGCAAGCTGCAGGGACTGGAGGGGAGTAAAATGCAGGCTGCCCTCTGAGATGCTCTTGGTCTCTCCTATCCTGGGCTCCAGGTTTTTCGAGAGGCACCAAGGGTGAAAGGCGCGGTGAAAGAATAATTAGAATTGAATCATAGTTATAGACTGAAGTATACGAAATCATTTAGCACTTATTTACATTTTCTATAGTTTTCAGAGAAAATTAATGAATTTGCTATTGGAAGAAAACGAGTAAGGAGAAAATTACGCCATGTGGTGGGAGATTATTATTAATCTAAATTTGATCGTTCTTTACAACGTCCTTTACTCAATGCCATTCAAGGTTGTTAAGCGAATGAACTTTGCAATAAATCAAATGCCTGCTTCCTTCCTGTGCACGGCTTCCAGATTTTCTCAGGTCACTTGTTTTCACTATTTTACCAACTTCTTTCCTGAAACGGACCTGGGAAAATTGACACTCCCTGAGGAAAAGGAAGCTGTAATAAACAGACCGGAAATTCTTTTGAACAACCCACATTCTCAGCAGCACTAGAGGGTGGACAGTTCCAAGCCTTTCCTGTTTCAAACAGCCGGCGTGATCACTATCAAAAAGCAATTCTACATTCTACGCTATAGTCATGAATGCCCTTTTGGAGTTCTGAAGTCAGACAGCAGTCAGGGTGGTAGACAGGACACAAGGGCGTGAAGTCCATAGTGTTGAGTTCTTGTGTGTTCTGTTTCTAGTTATAAATTATACATAGCACGAAATTTATCTCATGCAATAGTTGTAAAGACTGATGGAGAAAATGCACTAAAAGTCCTTGGCCTGTAGTAAGTGTGAAGTAACTATTTACTCTTACAATAAGAGTACTATAGTAGCACATTGTAGCCACCTCTTAATTTACAAGTTTTAAGGGAAGACTATGACAATTTCAAGTAGGAGAAAAAAAGTAAATAAAAAAATAGCTGTGATGATTGATGATGATGGCGGTGGTGTGACAGAGGTGGCGACAGCATGAATGCTTTAAGAAGTCACATGTTCTCATAAAATTTGAAAATTGAGAATGCTGCAAATATTGGAGAAAGTAGATATATTGTGTAAATTGAAATACAAATAAAATAAATGACAATATCCCCATTAAGCTGGAGTTTCCTAACACATCTATGTGTTCTGTGTCTTTCCATCATTCCTCCACAAAAAGTTTATCTTTTTTTCTTAACTCATAAAGTTAGTTTCAGGTTCAAATGAACCAATACAGATCTTAGAATTTACTAGTCCAGGCGTCATTTCTGGTATTTACCAGAGGTGTGTTTTAAGGGAAATTCATTAACTTTCCTGAACCAATGTCTCATCATCTACAAAATAAAGATAGTCAACAACCTTCATGAGTTGTAGGAACTAAGCAGGCCGATGTATGCAAAGCATTAGCACAGTGTCCACTGTGTAGTACTGATCCTTAAACATTGCTTACTTACCTACAAGGAATAAATATGAATGCTTAAGAGAGATTTTTTTCTTGGATGAATCTTGATGCCACAAGCATATTATAACAAGACTGACTGGAAGATGGCAGGTGGCCAAGGGAAGAGCTGCAGTTCCATTTTAGCATTTGATACCTGCAACAAAGAGTCTGCAATTAGCACTTCCCCCTCTCCGCTCATCCCCCGGCAGAGCCTCAGCAGTCAGATACCCAGCCTGCTCACATTTACCAATGTCCGTACATAAATGTAGTGCCACAGGAAGGAGCGTGCTCTACTCATCTTGCCTCATCTTGTCTTTTCTGTATTTCCTCTTCCACTTTCTCCTCAGAGATGGTCTTTGAGAAGAACAGAAAGATGCTGTGGCCTACCAAAGCCCAGTACTGCTGCCTTGATGGAGCTCTCCTGTGGACAGTTCTTCACCTTCAGCACCAAGAGCTGAGCAGAGAAGCCTAGGGTACTCTGGCTTCCTTAAGATAAATCTGGCATTCTCTGATTGGACAAATATCCAACTTCACCATTTCAATACTATTCTCCTATTCTTGTGGGGGTTCTTGTTGTTTAATTTTGTTTTTGCTGTTTCCACAATGCACCACCATTATGTGATATTAGTTTACTTTAAATATTTGTTTTAATTATTTATGAGTTATTTTAACTACTTT